ATAAAACGAATGGCCATCCATTTAGTCGAATATACAACCTGTATCTAATTTAATTCTTAATAAATTAATGGTTAGGAATCCGGAGTGATAAAAGTTTGGGTCAAAAGCCTCATTAATGTTTGTAATTCCCATATTAGGCGGAAACCAGACTGACCACTGACCACTGACCAGTAACGACTAATTGATTGTAGACGACATCTCGCGAGCGCTCACTGATGTGTAATCGTTGCTAGGAAATATAAATAGACTAAATATTTTTGAACAAAATTTGAAATGAAATTATAAGTGGCCACTGGTGACCAAGGGTCTCTTCTCGCACGGAGAAGGGTCGAGCATTAATCACCACACTTGCTTAATGCAAGTTGGCTTGGATCATACTCATTTAAAAATATGTGTATACGCTATTAACCAGCGAATTAAGACTTGATTGTTCCATCATCTCCACATTTTAGTACAGTAATGGACAATGTTTGACTACACGGTTTGTGGGGTGCCTGGCCAACCGTCTGCCGTGCAACGTGTAGCGGGTTCGATTCCTGCACGGAGCAACTATTTGTGTGGTCCACGTTTGCTGTTTCGGGTCTAGGTGTCATGTGTATATGAACTTATTTGTTTGTAAATGCACCCACGTCACAAGAGAAAATTATAATGTGGGATAGCGAAAAAAATACGGCTTCCAAGACAATTTCCTATTACGGTTTTTATTGGACAGGAAACTATAAAACATAATAAATAAACTATGAGTAGAAAGTAATATTTAAATAATATCAAATAAAGCACTACTGTATGTTCAAATCACGTTGTAGAGTAATGTAGGGAGCATGACGAACAAAATAAATGACAGTTTATGATTTAGTACTTGAATACTTGGACATTCCTACATGTGGAGTATTATAAAGTATTTAGTGGTTATCTAGTTTTTATGGCGAATAGTTAAACTAACATACTCATGATTTAGGTTAGTAAACAACTTTCAAAACTATAGCAGTCACAAACTACTTTTTGTTCCCTGACACACGCCATTATACAACATTATACACGACGTTAAAATTTTATAAATATGTCGGAGGAGGCATGATTACGTTCCGGTTGCTCAGGCATAATGTGGGTGAAAATGAGTATCGTGCAAATAGAAAAAAACGTTTTGAATTAATCACTGAGTTTCTTATAATCACAAGGTACAGTAACTGGGCACTAAGTGAAACGTAGGGCAGTTTCGTGACGTCTTCACTCGGTGGCGACTCCAACTGAAGTGAGCTCCACCGAGTGCAACTCTGACTCTGCCTAAGCGCACTGGAAATCCGCTAGGTGGTGCGCTTGTGTTCCATTTAGCGTCCATTCTCATGACCGGCTCCGACAAACATTTTACTAATTCGTTAAATTGATCTAAACGATCCAATTCCAAAACACTTATTTCTCTTTTTTATTACACTGGCGAATTTTGCACTTTATTCATTATCTCTGAAGAATTTAAGCGTTTACATAGTCTGTCACTGATTATACCTCTGCGGTGGTATTTGATTTTCGTCTTAAAACACAAAAATAGCCACAATAGCTTTGTATAAAAATAAAACTGAATACCTGGCCATATATTTTATTCATAAAAACTTGTTTGAATAAAATGCTTGTGTTTGACACCCATATCACAGTATGTAAATATGACGTCATAGTTGTCCCATCTACTAGTTACATAGCTACATTGGACATAGTTTCATATATGTATATATGTATATGAAACTGTGTCAGTTTCATGATTAGATCCCGACCCTAAAGGATAGCCTGTGAAAATTAAGCTTACTTTCGAATGACGAAAATAATCTTTCAAATCGATAGCTTTGGTGTCAGGAGAAGCAAACAAACAAACAAAAAAGATGTTCCTCTTTAAATAGTACTCATTTTTTATATTTGATGGGCCGACATAAAGAGATATAGTCTATGACTCGATATTATGGCGGTAAATGATGCTACAGGCGGCTGTAACTCTATCCACCGCTGTTATGAAATATTATCGTCGACTTGCTTTCAGTTCCGGGAAAGGTTACGTTTGCTAATGCTAAGAGTCAACAGTCACTTGATTCATTTTAATGATACACTTGATAACTTATTCACCCGGTAATGTCTGACGAAATCAGACGGAAACATGCGCTTTAAAGGACTCTAACACCGTTTTACCCCGGCTCAGAGTCATTTGATGGTTACTTGACCCAGTCCTAAGTAAATAGGATTCGGGGCAACATTACATGAAACATAACATCGCGCCTTTTATCCCCGAAGGGGTAGGCTGTGGTGCATATTACGGCACTTAATGCCACTGTATAATGTAACACCCACATTTCACTATTTATGTTATGAGAACTCCAACACCGTTTTACCCCGGCTCAGAGTCATTTGATGGTTACTTGACCCAGTCCTAAGTAAATAGTATTCGGGGCAACATTACATGAAACATAAACATCGCGCCTTTTTATCCTCGAAGGGAAGGGGTAGGCAGAGGTGCACATGACGACACTTAATGCCAATGTACAATGTAACACCCTTTTTCCGCTATTATTATTATGAGTCCCAAGTAAGTGAGGGTGAGCCTATTGCCACATACCGGGCACAATTCCACACTCCGTGTGCTATTACTGGGATTTTTTTTAAACCCAGTAATATTTGCTTGTTCCGGGAAACCCGAGACCCCTTGACCGGCAGTTGAACTTGCGACCACTCGGCCAACGAGGCAGTCGTTACTAAGGTCAAAATCATTACTAAGATATACCTTAACAACGATTTTGTTATTTTAAACTATAGTTTAACTAAATCTCTCTTAGACCAATTCTATTTTTTAATATGTCTCGCTAAAAGAGTACTGCCATGGAAACCGCCATGATTAATTTTGTATGGTCTAGATATTCCCGGAATGGTCAAAAGTGAGTGGCCATTAGTGTTTAAAGGTAAGCTGCGCGGGAGATGCTGCAGTGAGCCAATCACACACCATTTAAATGTCACGCTAGTCAAATAGTTCTCAGGGACTGAACCTACAACTATTACTTACATATTTAAAGGAGTGTAATTAAATTGTATTATTCCAGGTTTAAGGGAAGTCAGGGCTGTTTTAAAATTGTAATGGTTTTTGTGTCAATTGACATTTACACTTCTGAAGTTATTCATTGTGTTGTAGTTATTATCATCGTAGAGCTTTTTGTGGATTCTTGCTCTCATAATTACTAGAATATAAAATAGTTCTATTATTTAACACGTTAGTCGGCTGACCTACAATAGTTCCTATCTGCAATAATTCCTAGAATACTTCAGAATAACTTTAGACTGAAGTTGTTGTTGCCAAAGATTATGTAAATGAAGTGAAACAAATAGATTAGTGTCACTAGTTCACAATCGCAACAGAAAAAGAAAGCTCGTGTTGATAGCGGATTTATATTTTTCGCATTTTGTATCTACGAACTAGAATAGAATAGAAAGTGCTAGACACTAACATTTATTCAAATGTACTGAAATAAACATTTATCTGTATATTTGGAAAGTTCAGACGAATCGCCAAGTCACCCATGTAGGTACGCAATAGATGGGAGATCACATCAGTCGTGTTGTAATGTAAATAGTATTTCTAACTACTGAAGCGTTTTTAAACAATTAACTTAAACAACGATTGATTATCCTAGAAACAAGGATCTTGGTTTGCAAGTTCAGCAAAAGCTTGAGTATCCAGAACTTTGATGTACTTTCTTAAAATATGTGTCAGTACAGTAAGTACATTATATTGTATAGTATTTGTTCTCATTGCACTTACTTTTACCAGTTAGGAATATGTTAGTCCCGCGTAACATTAATGCACTGTATAATTGGAATCATGATGATAAATAAATTATTGTCGCCTTAATTTTGCAAGTAAAATGTAATTGTGACATTGTCTCGACAATTACTTCGTAATTTAATGTGGATAAAAAGACAGACAGCCAGCCAGTCACCTATATATTGACAAATATTCCCTATATGGACTTAACATAATCGTTCTTATATTATCCACATTTATGCCGAGTTACATTTGTTCACGATTTCTGCCAAAAAAGGTGGTTACAATACTTTTGTTTTGCTATATTTGGGTGACAGTATAAAACTACTATCAGTCCGGTTTTTGTGCAAACAGTGTACGGTGTATGTGTAATGTGTGTGGTTCTCCTACTTTAAAGGGCACAATTACTGTGTAGTGTTATTACAAGCCTCGATCTCATTGTCCTTATTTATTGAAGAATAGAAAGGATTCAAGGACATAAATATAAGGGGTGTGTGTCCTAAGGGCCTAAGTAATGTAAGTGTTGCAAATCATGTAAACAATAATGTTTTGTTGATTTGCTGGAAATCACATCACCTAAACTACCATTGTTTACAGGACGAAGTTGAAAAAACTGTCAAGTACGATGCGTACACGCCGGTCAAGATTTACTTAAGTACGACATCACAATATCAATGTTATTGGAGTCCATAACTTGATGTTTATGATGGCTACGTCATAGATTCTTTCTCATCTGTTTTGGCAGAGACGTGAACTTGTTTCATCATGGCGTTCTGATGATCCATTATGGATGTATTGACCTCACACGTATCAGATCTCTTAGCAACATTATTATTGGCTGAATACATTACCATACCGCTATCGGGCGATCTGTGTTCGTCGCACCGCGGTCGGCCCGAATTAATATTCAATCTGAATGTTCGTATTTTTCTCACCTAGATGAAAGTCTATGAATATTCAGTACATAATCATACATTATGTCATTGGGCGCGATAAACGATGGGCGTGTTATCACACGATCTTCCACCTTATGTAACCGAGATACGGATCACATCCGCGTCACGGTATTGTCCCTACGGGTTACGTAAAACAAAACCAGCCGGTTGGACATCGTTCGACCAATTTATTTTTTAACATTATTTATGTACAAACGTATAAAACGGTGATGTTGCACAATATCACATTCACTGTCTCGTACTCGACTTGCGTCACCAATAAATTAAATATAACTCGACGGTGTCTTCACCGGGGGCCAGTAGCGGTTGCAACAGTGGAGGGTGGCCTCGAGCTGACCACCACATTATTGTCCATCATCGCCAATCTGTAGGCGACCTCGTGCGAGGCAGCATCCATTGGAACTGCAACACTCAGCAGTGCGCATCTTCTCCATGTAAGTTTCAGCCGCTACTGGTCGTCGTGAAACACTGCTTCTTAAGTATTAATAGATTACTGGCGGTGACCGATCTGGTCGATCTGTCCCTGCAGGTTGTTGATGACCTCGGAAGGTACCTGGTCACCCAGGATCTCAAACAGGTTGATCCTCTGGTTCACGGGGATGGACTCGTACGCTGCCAGCTCGATACCTTCCTGGACCTGGTGACAAAGTGGATGTTTAGAACACGCCAAGTACAACTCCTGTTACTCAGATACAGGAAGTACGAGGACTCCTGTCTCTTCCGCAGTCTCAGACTAATCGCTGATGATTAATGAGGAAGTTATCCAACAATGTAGAGAACAGCTCTCCGATGTAAATAAGACGTTAAGCTCCCGCGTTTGTATGCGCACGCGCATTCATTAGTGGCGCCGTGCTTTACATGCATAATTTCAGTTGACTACAAAGAAGTAAATATTTCTACGAACTATGTGAGACTAAAAAGCTTCATGTTATTGTAATTGTGACATTTAACATGTAAATATTGAATATGGTAATCGAACTTACACATCAAAGTGGAGTTTTTAAATGTAACAAAGTAAGTAATTTGAAATTGTATAAATTAATGAAATGTCAACAAAATCAACATGTAAACTAGTCGGTTTGTTTGTCATCACAACAATGTTCTCACGATGAATAAATAAATATTGTAAACAAATGTTATCTTCTCCCTTACCTTCTGGATCTCTGCGTCCTTGGGGATGAGGTGTGTGTTCTGTGCCTGCTTGATGGCCTCCCGCGTGTAGGCAGCTCCCTCCCGCTGAGGAGCAGCAGCCGCTGCAGCCACCACCACCAGCACGCACAGCACCACGGACTTCATTGTGAAAGAAGAGAGAACTTCGCGGGCGACACGAACACAAGACAAACTGTGGAACATACACAATGCTACGATCAGATGCTAAGCTCTAGTTTTTCTAAACAAAATAAAAAACCAGATCTATTTAAATCAGAATGCTTTTCGGTTGCAAATTATAATCAGTGAGCTTTGACTTCGTTCACTTCGTTCATTATCGTGTTTTGATAATGAAAACTTCTTTGATTTGACTCAAGTTATACTTAGGATTGTTCTAGAAGCACAGATCTCTTCCTAAATTAGTTACGTAAACGCGGACAAGATGCGTATCTATGCGCATGCGTCGCGAAAGTCGCTAATCAGTACAACACACACTTTTACCACTTTTTCAGCACAATCCACAAGTGAAGGGTTTGTCCTAATAGTTAGCACAAAGTGATCAGGTACAGAAGGCCTACAACGGTGACAATCACACTGATGTACTGGTAACAGTAGCAACGGTCGGAGCAGTGCGGCTGCGCGGGAGTGTGCGGGCGTGAGCTAGTGTCGCGGCTTGTATGGCCTTCTGTACCCTCGACTAGTGGTACAAGTGTCCATATCTCACCTGTGAGGTTGCGGAGTGGTGCGCGCGAGCATACGTCGCCTGATATAGGCGCCCCCTCCCCGCGCACAACTTTCACCGCGAGGACCGCCTGCGCAACCATCCTGACGATCTACGCGTGGCCACGAAGTACGCTCATCATTTTGTCATTCCATTTCATTAGCGGCCAGTGACTTCACATGTGAGGGCTTTATAATAACTTCTTAATGTGATGTAACCGTTACAAATGTGTTGATTACAATAGTTGGTGTAGTTGAGTAACTAAACAATATTTAAATATGTAAATGTCAAATATGTGAATACGCACCTATTACGTTTTCAATTCTTTTACTAGATAAACTTAATTTAGCCTGGAACCTTCAAATACTGAACACAATCTCTTACAAGGAATCGCTTTTTGCTAAACAGCCGCAGTTTTAGTGGCCCCAATCAAACGGAGGATGAAGCCAACATTTGGAATTAAAATATTGACGCAGAAAAAACTAAAAACTTGAGGTTGCATCCGGATCACGATCTAATCCAATCGCTGGAGATATCGAATGTCCATCAAATGTTGAAAGCTTGTATCTTACAATCTCTGTGTGCCTTCGGCCGCGGCGCTAAGTAAGAAGATTACAGGGAGCACTGTAATGGGATCACTACAGAATGCTGTTGCAGGTTCCCGATACGTGTTACAAATATAATCTGACATCGAAAGCTCAACTACTACAACACTTCCTTTTTAAAACATTTCGCTCGATTAGCTTATACCTAGTTCCATGATCCGCAGAACAGCTCCCGAATCGCCATAAATACAAACGATGCGCTAGTTAGCTTACAAGCAGACGGCAGCTTATGTTTTATGCACACAGATATATTGCGGGTTAAACGAGCAGATGTATACATTTAGAAACGTTCACTGGGCCATAGTTACATCGTTAACTAAGCTATATAAATAACAATAAATATGAATAGCTTCCAATAAATAGTGAATCGCGTCGATATTGTAAGCTCACCTACGTAGATGTTCATTTATTTAGATTTTGATGGTTCTTGCTTACGATTTGTTTTACGAAGGTTTTGTTAATGTTAGTACATACTATATGTGTACATATAATATAAGTTTCAAGAGAAGGTTGCTACGTTACCGTTCCCTATTAATATTTCAGGGTACTTGACCTGCATGACTTGTAGGAAATCTAGAGGTTCGTAGCAAAATATTGTCGATATCCGGATTCCAGGCACCGCTTGCATAAGCCGAGTGTTGCTGGAAGTCAGGGAGTACCCTGTTGATAAATGATCATATCCGACCTGCTTCTACCAATATCCCCTTCCGACATCTGTTTTGATAAATATCTTTCCCAACAATCGTTTAATTTAAACGCTTATTTCCTCGTAACTGGCGTTAGCTGATTGGATTAATGTTGTGAATGTTGTGTGTCCAATAGTTGTATGTATTGATTCTAATGTTGATTGCTTATGTAATCAGCGCGTATGTGCGTTTATGTAACAATGTGTCTCATACTAACCACATAGGGTAGGGCTGTCCAATGTGACAAATATACATTCATATGTGCTCTACAAAAACATTTTTACTTATTTAACAAAATAAACAAAGAAGTTGCAAATACGTTTGTATCGCAAGGTTAATTAAAATATTTTGAGAATATTCATTTTAAACTGTTTTTAGCAATGTGCTGCAATACGCTATTCGTGGTATATTTTTCATGTCAACATGTTGTTGTAGCTATTTTAAAGGTCTTTGAGCACTGAGCATAGTTTGCAGCCCTAGTGGTACTGGTAGTTGGTCCAGTGCGAGCTTCCTGCCTCGGAAGTTATCGTGTATCGCGATTATATCACCGTGGCTGTTGACCGGCGGCTGGTAGCTAGTGGCTAGTTACTTAGTGTGGCTGACAGTACCTTGTTGCTCTAATCATTTAACTGTCTGCTGGAAATAATGCAGCGTTATGTGTAACAAACTGGTTTTGGTTCCGTCTGCTACAACACAATGCTAAATATTAATTTCATTATGCTGAGAGACCGGCCTGATTTCTATATTTGCTTATATAAATACTATCGGCATGCCCTCTCTAAGAGAAGATGAAGACTATTTCTAATATGCATTCGTCGCTTGTTAAAATTGTTATGTTTGTAAACGAAAAGTCGTTCTATCGTCTTTATTATAGGAAATGATACTATAGAACAATAAAAAGTCTGAATTAAGTACAATCGTGAATACAGTTTGTCGAGTATACGTAAATAAGTTTAAGTAATTATTAAGAAGCAGTGTTACATCTGGGAAGTGTTCTCCCCCGTACTAAACTTTGTGACAAAGGCATAATTTAGGCAAATGTCGCGCCACACAACAGAACTTGTGCCTACATACATGTCGCACAGACTAACAATTACTTCCTCCGCCTGCCTGTATGCATATATGTAAGGTATGTAGGAATTGTTTCTCAGCGTATTTAACGCTCATGAAGGGATGTTACGTAAGGAGGATCCTTTCTCCCTTCTATAGAAAGGAGCGTCGCTCTTGTATTCGTTTTGAAATAATGTTTATATCTCCATTACCAAATCTTGAAATACAATTTATTTAGCACGTTACCGTTGGTAGGTATATACAATCACTGCCTCGTAAATATCAACATATGTAGCGCTGTATGTGAGCATTAAAAATATTTGTTTACCTTGGTCTGACCTCACATCCACTGCACATCACTCAAATAGCTTTGATCTTTTCACAATTATTCACTCTATCGATGTATAATGGGTGCGTGAGCGCCACTCACACACTCACACGCATCTATTGTGCGCTGTGTGCAAGTTGAGGCGTTAACATTTCAAGTGAAGTAGTTCGCCGTGACTTTGCTCACGTCGTGTGCATTAACATACTTACGTAACTTATTTAATACAACGTAAAACGTTAGTCTCAGGCCCACAGTGCTCTACCTGTGCCTACGTCAGTGGATTACTGTCTTGATTGTGACTCCGATGTTTCGAGTTATATTTTACCAAATCGTGCACCATATTACTATTCATTGTAATTTGTGAAAGAAGTGGTCTACCATTGTGTTCGTGGTAGGTGACTCTGAATTTCTTTGTCCAACCAGATGAGACAAAGCCGTAAGTTATAAGTTCATGTACAGTGTAGCGCCCAGTCAGAGGGCTGGGCGCTAAGTAATAAAATATCTTCAGTTCTAATTACAAAATACATGGGCCTCATAACACAGATAGTGAAATGTGGGTGTGCCATTGTACAATGGCATAATGTGCACCTCTACCTACCTCTTCGAGGATAAAAGGCGGGCGGTTACGTTATGTTTTAATTATTTACATCACAATTCATTCAGACTGAATACTCATCTCCTCCCATGAGACTCGATCATAATGTTATTTAAAAGTTCAACATTAGAATTAATATAATTTAGATGCAGATTTGCTATATTTTATTTTTTGTGCATACCTAAATTATACACACGAAGCGTGTTACTTCGCAACATTTCCGGATTGGCTTATAAATTCAGAACATCGTGTTTAGGCAGAAGATTGCTTGATGGTAAGTAGTCAGCGCCGGTTATAAACACTAACTTGTAATACGAGTTGCATTAACAGCTTTGAAATATGCAGACAAGTAGTACATTGACAATTGATGTATAATTGTTTAGTTACACAGGCGTTGGATGCTGCGTGCCATTAGTGTTGTAACAATGCACATCCAAACATCCAAGTGGTGCACTCGCAACAATCGCAATAATGTGTCGTAAGCACAACACTTATTACTGAATCTTTATGGCCACACAGTTACACATACACCTGAATTATATTGTATGCTTCCGTAATATTGTTATTATGTCTGCAATATTATAATTCTAGCTCATTTCTAATGACTTTAAAATTTTCGAAATGTCATATACATATAAAAATGTGCACTGCTACATCTAACCACAAAAGTGAACGAGTACCGTCTGTAATGATTGTCGTGAAGTATGTACAAGTTACCTTAAACCACTTTACAAACTCTTCCTTATAATATCATAATCTTGGGATGTCGTATCTTCAATATAATGTAACGTCGTAGCGTAAACATAAATATTTTATCAGTTTTTATTTTGCTCGTAGCGCCGTAGCAACGCGTTGATGTCTTTTACGAGAGACGCATATCTGCTGGGATAATAATTGTTTTAATACGATACCGATGAAGTCTATATCTCATTGACTTTATTTTTTACCGTAGACATTGTTTAAATAATTTAAGTACTTAAGAAATGATTTACACTATACACGATGCTAATTAAAGGCAATTTTTCGTAGTCGCATGAAAATCTCAAAAACGTAATCGTTTTGTGAACGTTTGTCTAGCTGAGCCCAAAGCAAAAACATTTTGCAATAGTGAAGAAATATTTACGAGAGGAAATTCAAAAACTAAAATTATGTACAAAATGAGTTAGTTATTACAAAGAGAGTGAGCTGGCGAGGAGGGCAGAGGTCGCGTGCGCATGCGCAACTAGCGCGCTTGAGTAACATTGCCCTCTTCACACTTATGCTGAGTCCAGTCATAGTCGTAACGAAAGATATTATAGCTGTAATGTATTAAACATAACTTAGGAACAGTTATAAAATTACATTATGTTACAAACAAGTATGGTAAGGTAGTTATAATGAATTCACGCTGTAGATGCCCATTTCTGAGCCAAAGCATTCATGTTTACTCCTACCACAATGTTCGTATTTTTATTTCAAATAACAATACATCACTTCACAGCTGCTGCAGCGGGTGAACTAACACCATCCGTTGCCTGCCCAAAAGCCCTGCAGAAATAAATATATATTAATGTAAAAAATTAAAACTTTTATTTCCAGTGTGGGTGTACTTTATATTTTATTCGCCCCATTCGGCAGAAACAAGATCTTAAAGATTATATAATGCGACACGTACAAGTTCTAAGATGTTAAGGAAAATTTACTGCGCATTAAGAAACGCAAATGATTTAGCAACTCATTAAGGCACGTTCATGTCGTTCATCAAAATATTTGACATTGAGTGATATCTTGCGCGCGCATCATCAATGCCAATATCACATCATGTCCCAACAGTTGCCTCACCACACCGCCAGCGCTGGCGCCGACTTAGGAGTCCTTTCTCTTCGACACCCGATAATTTACACGTCCACGTCCACCACTTTCAAAATTGCACACAATCGTAAACAATACATTTTTATTGCAATTCTCCAATACAACAAACCACAACGTAAGCTTTCCTTTTCATTCGAGTTAAGCTCAATGTAAACCACATTGGGCTGCAAGCACCTTTTAATAGTAACTTTTTTATTCTAATCACATACATACATACATCTAATCTGGGATAGTAACAAATATGTAGTTATTGACAGTGTGTCACTTGGCTAACATCGCGATATTTGCACACACTCTACTGTTTGATGAACAAACATACATATTTGCTAAATAAATTCTATTTATACAAGCATATTTTAAAGTTGCCACCTTAAGCAAATTGTTTTGTATGATATTTATTGAACAGGTACATTATTCAAATTGTAAATATGTCATAGGTGAAATTAGAACCTTCGATATCATCCAAAATTAGTAAACCTATTTTAATTTCCCCTGAGGAGACGTCTTGTCTAGTAGACAATTCAATTCTCGAAAGAATTAACATTAAATATTTACAACCTAATAATAAATATATTTCTATGATTAGACTAAACTAACATTAATATTATAAATTTTTATTATGAATTATTAGTTTCAATTGTCATAGGAACTTATAAAACAGTTTTTATGGCTTATCCGAATATTCTAAAGTAGGTACATAAATAATGGTAGTCGCTCCATGTAAAGAAAAAACTGAAATGCAGCTGAATAAGATTAAACCTCAGTATCGACGACTCTTAAAACTAATCAAAGTCAATATAAACAAGAGGTTTACCTTCTTCATTAAAACTTAATTTGTCAAAAAAGAATCAACCAACTTATGTATAAAGTCACTAATTAATTCATAATGATTTAGTTTTTTGATGTTATGTTTGTTGATTTTTCGGTTTTTTGGACATTTAATGGTATTTATTTTTTTATGCAAAAAGCAGAGTGGTATAGAATTGCGGTGCAACCACGGCAGGCGCTTACGTGTTGGTACAATTCACTGTTCTATCAGGCGCTTATACATTTATAATTAGATACAACTAGCAAATGAATATAATACAACTAGTGAATAGGTTTCTTAAAGGTCGGCAACGCATGTAATGCCCCAAGTGTTGCAGGTGTACATAGGCCACGGTAACCGCTTACCATCAGGTGGGCCATGTGCTATTGCGCTACCGTCGTGGTATAAAAAAAATGTAAAATATACCGTTCCATTGGTCCTGTAACTGTACGTACGTAATCAGAAGATTTAAACTTAGATGGTGTACGGTACTATAGTAGAACTTATTTCTCTCAATAAAGTTTTCACCAGCTGTTATCTTCGCGAATCGAATACAATATATTACAAAACGGCTGGTCGCCCAGCCGCTGCACCAAAGTGAAGAATTTAGTAGCACTAGCTATTAATTGCGTACTGTATTAATTTCTGGACATGACTAGATGCTCATTAGGCGCTGCGGCCAGACCATCGCTTGGCAACTGGGTCAGGTGTACTCCTTACAAGGGAGCTGGCCTTCATCAGTGATGCAACTCCTTACACCGGCCATATAGGGAGCTATGAGAGCATCGCACTCGTCGAGTAAGTATAGTGATTACATTATATTATATACACAGGTACATATCATGTAATGGATGTACTGTGGATTTGTATCACATAGTGAGTGACGGTTTTGTGACTAGTGGTGCCATCTATATTTTAGACTTAAGATATAAATGTTTAGTGTAACGTGTTGATGGTCTATAACTACATGTTGTGTACTATGTTCTATTATATAGCCATTTCAGGCCAATCCTATTTTACATTTATACAATTATAGTAGACAGCAGAGTGTTGTTTATTTGTTCGTAAATTTATTTGTATCACTGGGCAATCTTCCAACGCACAAAAAGTTTTAGCAACGTTGTCTGTCCACAGAACCAACAGCCGTCGGCAGTATGTCGCTGAAGGAACTAATGATGATCACAGTGCATTGAATCATAGTTGACCTTGCTTACCATTCAGGTGGGAAGAAGCCAAATGTTATTTTCAAAAATTACAGTAGGTAGGGGCTTACACAAACTGAAATAAATAAAACGAATCATCAGTCTAGGTTTCTTTTATTTGTAAAAAAACAATAATTAATAATTAAATAATACAGTGAGCATGTGCGCTTATTGCCCGGGAAAAGTGACAGTCTTCCGGAGCAAGAAGCCGCACCATAGCGCCGGCGCACGCGCACCACCGCGCGCCGCCAGGCGGCCCGTCTGCGCCGGCGCTTACAGGAGTCACAATGAACCGACCGTAGCAGACAATGGGAAACGAACGAACCTAAAGCAGACGTCGCTGCATGACTGCGACACGCGACGTCTGAACATTACAATAAATTAATTATCCTTACTCTACGCTTGAGCCTTCCGATAGAATCCCTCGCGGTACTTCGCCACTAAGTGCAATAAATAAAATGTTCGTGCGATCACATAGTGTAACTCTACGCCTAAAATTTACTTTCATAAGGTGGACAATATTCTAAATATCAAATTCGTTTTGTACCAAATTTAGTAACGATATAATACGTAGGGTAGGAGCGCCGCGTCGCGTCGGCTGCGCGGGCGCTTCTCTTTGTTCTTACACATATTAAAGGAACTACATCTATGCGTGGAATGCTTACGTTAATGTCTGCCATGTTTGTCATGTTCTCGTAAAATACAGCTAGCAGTAATGGCAACGTGGCGTCGAGGTGAGGCGGCCGGGCGGCGCGCCTGCACTGTCACATCTTGACTAGCTTGGTTGCTTACTTATCGATCACTCTACTCACGATCTCTCACTAAACAAATAAATAACTTATTCGCTAACGCGAGGAGCCACCGACTTGCCTCGCCCTAATTTGACACAACGCGGGCGGCGGCCACGCCGGCCACACTCGCTCCCTAACGCTAAAGTATTATAAATAATTTGTCCAGCTAATACACATAAATCCGGCCGTCTACTTACATTACAAAATACAAACAGCCGGAGACGGGTCTCCCTTCACCGGCCATCAATTGACGAGGAATATGATCGATTCCGAAAGGGTCATACACCTATAAACCTAATAGTCTCTACGTTAACTTACAGTTTCAAGAACGAAACTTACTCTCTATAAAATGCTAATTAGCTGAGGTTCCATGCGGGTTACGCCACGCGGCTGCTCACTGCGCCGAGCTCGGAGGGGCGGAGGAGGTGGCCGATGACTCACCAGAGGGACCATCTGTGGTTGCTTCTTCAGAGCTGCTTGATGGAGCAGCAGTAGTCACGAGGTCGCGAACGGTCACAGGAACCGCTGTAGTGGATGTCGCAGTATCAGTGCTACTCGCAGGAGCTGCAGTGGTAACAATGGGAGAGTCGGTGCTCAGTGCGTCTTGTGTGACGTCACTCGAGATCTTTTCCTTCTTGTCGGTTTCCCCTGACCCAGCAATAGGCGTTTCAGTTAAAATGCTACTGTCTGTAGAGGTTTCAGTAGACGTAGACACGCTGAGAGACTCACCAGATGATGCTAGTTTGTCACTATTCTTCTTCATGACGACTTTTGTGGGTCGTCGGTGGTTAATAGTAGGTACATAAGATTGCGTGATGATCTCGATATCCTTTTTGTCTTGTTGTGTCTTGTTCTCAGCGATATTTACATCGTCCGACACATTATCAATAATGGGCCGTCGTGTGGTGGGCTCCACCTTATCGAAAGGTGGCGGCGAGTCCGTCACACTTTCTGACTCATCGTCCTCAATCTCGACCACCTTTTGCTTGTTCACTGTGCTTGCAATTTTACTCTTGTGAGGTATCTCGGTAATAGAGTTTTGATTAAAGTTTTTGTTTTTACTCTTATACCCAGCGTTGACTGGAATGAGCTCCTCGGAATCAGAAATACTCCCTGCAGTCGTCACGTGCTGCACACTGTCTGGTTGTTCAGTGTTGTCGCTAATGGAAGCAACGTCTCGTACTAGGTTGATCAAGTCAGTGAATTCATTAGTTTTCTTGCCATCGGTAGACTCAATAATCGCTGAACTCTTCTCAGGATTTGCCGATATTTTGATCAATTCGACGGCATCAGTCGCTGTTTCTGAAGAACCAAATGACGTTACAATGAATTCTGTCGTTTCTACATTCTCTAATCCAATGTTATCACTGGAAGCAGATCGAGATACTGTGATAACTTCTGAACTAGTTGATGGTATTTTGGAACTGATGTCTATGGGATCCATGGTAGACGGAGTTTCTTTATCATGACTAGTATTTTCACTCGGTAGCTCGGGTGGATTTTGGTCGCTCGTTTCGATAGGCAGCGAACTAAGCTCTGTCTGTGATGTCACTTCAGTAGCAACATTAGACTTTGCGAGTGAACTGGTGGTTTGTTCTTGTTCTGTGGTAAACGGTCCTGACTCAATTTCTGTTTCCTTACGATGAGTAGTGGTATCGAATACAAGTTGGGAAAACGCTTCGCCTTCAGTCGATGTTTTCGTGTCCAATGTAAATGGCTCTGCTTTTTCTGATGTAACTTCAACTTCCTCTATCTTTTGGGGTGCTTGAGTGGTAGTAGCTGCCGGTGTTAAACTTTCAATTATGGTTTTAGTGTCAGTTATTTCAGATATACCTGGTTCATCATGAACAATCGTTGTCGGTTCATTTAAAATTTCTGTTGGAATTGCTGATCTCAAATTAATCGTCGGACTTTCTTTAAAACTAGGTGCTTCCGTACTCCTTGGTACATCTCCGGTCGTACTTGCTGCATCCGTTGAAGTTTTAAGTTTCTCTGTGGTTGTTACGGTTGTTGTATCTGGAAGATCTTTGGATGTAGTGGTTAGTGGATCTTTTGACTCAGATTCAACAGTAGGAGATATATTGGCTACGGTAATGTCGTGACCAGACACGTGGTCATTGTCAGCGACCTGTTCTGGTACTATTTCATCCTCGTGGTTTCGCAATACAGCCAAATCGTCAGGAAGTGGAGGGAAAGCAGGATTGTGATCAAAATCTTCTTCCTCAATAATGGGAGCTTTAGTTGTGGCAACAGGTGCAGGTTCGGGTGTTACGGGTGGAATTCCCATAGTCGCTACGATTGGTACATTTGAAGGATAAATAGCGCTGTGCGTAGAATCTTGTGTAGAGAAGCTGATCTTGGAAGGAGGTGCGTCTTCATTCTTATTTTCAGTTGCAGTGAATTGTGTTGCATCTGGTGACGTCACAATCACAGGCAGCGAAGAGTGGATCTCAATTATACTGGGAGACTCTGTTTTGGAATCATTTTCTTTTGTATTTTTTTCTGATGTAGCCTCTCGTGGAATCAGAGGAGACTTGGAAGACGAATACTCGGCTACTTCAATGCTAGGCGATGGTAAAATCTCTTTTATTTTCACGTCTGTGATAATTGGGATCTCAGAGACAGGAGTTATTTCCTTAATAGTGATCTCTTGTTTTATGTTCTCTTTTGGCGGTGCTGGTTGGGACTCCACGCTCTCAGATGCGGCCGAACTTGCAATTGAAGACGACGCTCCGGGCAGACTGGTTACTCCTGAAAAAAAGTAGATTTGTTGATTATGTATTTGTTTGTTATTATGTTACATAATAACTTTTCATTTCTTATTAACATTATTTAAATAAAAACTAAAAATTTACTGGAACACTTGTTTTCATTTATGAACTGACCTCTCAGTGGGCAGTTGTCGTACTCAGGACAGCAGCGGCCGGGCACGAGGCGCGGCGTGCAGTCGTCGCGCACGAAGCACGCGATGCGCCGGCACACCACCTCCCCTCCCTGGCAGTAGCACACGCGGCACGGGTCTGCAGGGTCCACCAGCTTCTCACCATTACCGTACACTCGCCCTTCTTGTTCGCATTCTAAAACACAACATATCCTTCATTAGATAGACTGGCAACAAATTTAAGCTCTGATTCTGTTGGCTTGTCAAGATTACGGACTATGGCAAACCTCTTGGTTAAGGAAGAGACTTTTGTTCTATATTATGATGTTGATGAAGGCATACTAACCGCACTGATAGGTAGGGCAGCAGTGGTCGGGGCGGTGCAGTGCCTTGCAGCCGGGCCGGGGCTCGCAGCGCTGGCGCGCACATTGCACGTCGCCACCAGCGCACTTGCAGCTCTCGCACGGGTCCGAACCTGGGAACTCGTCGCCCGGCATGTACACCACATCGCCTAGAGCACAGCTTCCTGAAAAGGTAATGGACTTTTATCATAATGTGCTTTTATAAAGCAAAGGTATAAAGTAAGGTGAACATTAACATTTGATCCTACTCAATTAATTAATTGTTAAAAAATCTGAGAAAATAATTGAGTACCTACCTTACAATGACTTACGTCATTGTAATTAATTTATAAATACAAATTGATTGTTATGTATTTTATGATCAGTCATAAGTTGAATATTGTCTTAAAAAACAGCAAAGAATAATAGAAGTTTTCCCGATCAAGAAATAAAACAATAAATAGGTAATAGCGACTCACCTTCCTTAAGAGCGACGTCGGCGCTGGTCACGTTCGGCAGCGGGCCCAGGGGACCTGTAACGAAGGAACCCAACTTAATACAATCACTCGAGTATTTCCTAACCATCGCGGAATATTTTACCTCGTCAGGAAAACATGCCACAGGGGACCTCTTTCTCTCACTTTTAGTGTAACGTGGCTATAATATACTACGGTTTTACAAGATAAAATTTACCAAGATTTAGATACTGATAACTCAGTAGCTATAAATCAATTTCTGAGCATACATTTAAATATTAATTAATTAATCACATATTTACTAAGGATTTTGTAACGCATTATATTATGCGAAATAAGCTCGCGACCTACAACTAGGATTAAAGACCAAGACATTTCAGACTCAAATTGAGTTACGGATTAGTGCAACATTGTTCCAGACAGTTGACGGTCTAGGAAGCGCAGGACACAGACGACCCGGTAAACCCGTCCGGCACACCGGCGGTGGTACCGATGAAACATAGACGGAACGCCGACGGCTCACTAATTCAATTCCGACGGCAATTGTGTCTGATTGAGGTCTGCCGTCTCCGACAATTTGCATCAAGTCCCGTAATCCCGGCCGCCGACTCCGCCGAGCCTCCACGACACAGATGAATGAGTTACATACAAAATTCCGACTTGACTTAACTTAATTACTATTGATTCCCCGCCGACTTCAAACTGTGAGCTCTTAATGAGTTGAGCATTTCATTGCACAGAGATTTGTAGCTGGGGCTGGAAAACCTCGTGTTGCGAATACTTTATATTAAGCAGTGCTGAAAAGTTGTTTCATGTCTTATTTAGACTTTTAGTATAACAAATTGTGTATACTAAAAATCGCAAACAACCATCGAAATCTTCACTTCAAATGAAACAACTGTAATAAGAAACACGTCATACTTAGACAAGAAATATTTGATTCTGTCCGCTGTTTTATTCTTTCTCCCTCAAAGAAAAATGCTTACAAAAGAAACAAGTTCAAGTGGTACTTGTTATTAAGTAACATTTGAACTTGCGTCCCCTCCAGCCTGCAGCCTGTCCGAGAGACCCTCGAGCGTGTCTCCGTGAGCCGCGAGCGTCAAATCAATGCGCAATGCGACTAATTGTTCCCTCTGTACACTTGTGTGTAGCGACCACCGCAGAACCTAACTAAGTAACACTCAGTATCTACTGCGTCATTAAATGCGCCATTCATATCACGACAATCGCAGATGAAAGCGAGCCTGCGACATCAGACAGTTGTAACATTTACGACCGATGTAAGGTTGGAGTAGTAAAGTCGTTGCTGCAAAGTGCTCGTGGTGAGATTATATGGAATACATTACGCAGATATTCAGCGAATACGATTATGCACTTATTTCACAAAAGCAATCGTGCGCCGACACAAGATTGCACAGTTGCATTGCCTTCAGTTCTACTCAATGATTTTACGGGTGTTTACTGCAATATCAAATATCTTTGTCTGGCAATGTTACTAAATAATCCACCAAACGTAATTATATATTTTTTGTTAGTTACTGTAAGGCTCCTAAAGTCCAAAACAAATTAGCGTAGTAATTGTAAGAACAACGATATTGAACGCCTATTACATTGCATTGTTCACTCAATTCTTTGCGTTAACCACAAACTGTTTTTCCTGATTCAGCTACCAGCTATCTTACAAAATCACAACGTGTCAAACTACTGAAATAAATAATAAATAAATAAATAAATAATAAATTTTATTGCTCAAGAAAAAAGAGAAAATACATGATTTGTTACATCAAGTGTACGAGTTCCTTTTACATTTAATTTGATGATTAATGTCCCCTATACTAGGAAAATCCTGTATTATAGGAGACATCCATTCGTGCGTAGTTACTTTTACAATTATTCAGTAAACCAAACGTGTAACATTAAACAATAATTTATGTACGTGTGAGCACGTGTGTGTGCGGAGTATGTGTAGTGTAGTGTGTGTGTGATTTTGATAGGAAGAGTGTGATTGTGTTTGTGTATATGTGTGATGGTGTCTACACCAGTGTATGTTTTGTATGATGATTTTAATATTGAAATCATACGGAGGGTTTTATCAGTGCTTCTGTCTCGTCATAACTTAAGCCAAGTAGAAACGTTTTAACTTTTTTCTTGCATATAAATGTATTTTGGGAGTGGATGTCTAGCTTTTGGTGCATTTTGTTGTAGAGGCGTGCACTTAGGTAGGTAAAGTGTCGCTTAGCGAAAGTAGTGTTTGTGTTTGTTGTGGGGCATGGCGGTTTCGATCTTCTTCCCGCTGTTGGGTTGGTATTTCTGGTATACGGGACGGTGGCATGCTTTTTCATGACTGAGCGGAAGATGTAAAGTTGTCGGACTGTTAACTTTTCAAACTCTGCATATACTTAATTGTCGTGTTGGAAATGTAAAAGGCTTTTTTAGAGTTACTTTTATAACCGCTCTTTGCGCTCGTTCTACCTGAATAATGTCGGTCTTTGCAGCCCCTCCCCACGCGGTGATGCAGTAGTTTAATATCGATTCGCATAGTGCCGAATAAACGATCTTAAGAATGTTGTTGTTGGCGGAAACTCTAAGCTTTTTAAATAGGAAAATTAATTTTCGAACTCGCGCCGACATTGCTTGTAAGTGTGGTTTCCAGGTTAAACAGGGGTCCAGCTGAATACCGAGATATTGTATTACTGTTGCTCTAGTAACGGTGGGGCATGAACAAAGGGGAGAGAGGTTGGTGCATTTGTGGGCTTTCAATGTTAAAGACCCATCTGGAGGAAGAGTGGAGGATCTTAAGCCGAAAGTAATGAAGTTGGTTTTTTTTAAGTTTAGGGCCAGATTGTTTTTACCCAGCCATAGCATCACTTCACCGAGTCCTTTTTCGGCAATTTCTTTTGCTGAGGTCCAATCACGGTCATATGTTAGAATAACTGTGTCATCTGCATATGCTATTATTTTTGTGGAGGGAAGGGATAGCTGACAGAGTTCATTGACGTAGATTTGGAACAGAAGGGGACTAAGAAGACTTCCCTGTGGCAAGCCGATAACCACTTTCGTCGCGTCGCTAATATGTTCTCCAATCTTAACGCATTGCAATCTATCGGTCAGAAAATTACTGAAAAGAGTCAGAGCAATGCCTCGAACTCCGACAGTTTCCAGTTTCGATAAAAGTAGAGGAACCGAGACAGTGTCGAACGCCTTTGAAAGGTCTAGAAAAATTCCCAAACATTTGAATTTATTGTCAATCCTATCAACTACAAAGTCGAGTAAAGATGTCACTGCATCTTCGGTTGACAAACCACGCCTGAAGCCGAATTGGTTTCGTGAAATAATTTTGTGTTTGTTGAGGAAGTTATTCAGACGCTTGTACATTATTCTTTCCAGAACCTTGGAGATCGCCGGGAGGACTGATATTGGGCGGTAGTTGGTGACCTTGTCTCTGTCCCCAGACTTGTAGATTGGGTGTACTATTGCCTTTTTCAAGGCATTTGGGAATATACCTGTAGATATTGCCAGGTTGCATATATGTGTGATAGGTGGAGCTAGAATATGACTAGTGTGTATTAGCAATTTTGCTGGAATGCCGTCCCATCCGGTAGCACTATTAATTCGTAGACTACTTATAATCGATTTAACCTCTTCGTCATCTGTTTCTAGAACAACCATTGAGTTTGCCGTACCTTGTTGATCGTTGTTGGAGGCTAGGGGGAAATTCTGAGGAGAGTTGCCACTCGCTAGATTTACACCCACATTTGCAAAGAACGTATTAACTGTATTGACGGATTCAGTAGCACAATTTTCAATTGTCAAAAGTTCTGTTGATGCCGAACGTATGCATTTAGTGTCAGTCACATTGCGAATTACTTCCCACATTTTTTTAGGGTTGTTTTTAGCCTTTTCGAATAGTTTTTCTTCATACTCTTTTTTAAGTTTTTTTAGTATGTTGTTGCAGAAATTGCGGTATCTTAAATAGGTTAATTTTAGGATATGATTGGTTGGCTCTTTATTAGTTTTATTGTGCATTTTGTCTCTATTACGTATGCATCTCAAAAGACCGATGGTAATCCATGGTTTTATTATTCTGTGTTTGCTTGGGATAGATTTGCGGATAGTATTTTTTGATAGAATGGGAGAGATGATATTTAGTAATTCGGTGGTGGCCTGATTAGCATCAGTCATTTTGCATACAGTAGAGAAATCACAGTTTATAATATCAGAGATTGCTTTTGAGATGTTGAGGCTAGATGTTTGAAGTTTGGTGTTTTTAGTTTTGTGTTTGCTGATCTCGAGGTTTAAAAGAATTGCTGAGTGGTCCGTAATCGATGTTTCCAATGTTAAGGTGGTTGCTTTGTTGCTGGTTTTTAGCAGTATATGATCAATACAGCTGTGTAAACGAGTAGGTAGAAGGGAAGCTGGAAGATATCCGTGAGATGCAGTCAGGTTCAGGTATTGCTGTGAACGTGGGTCATTACAATCCGGACTGATATCAATGTTCGTATCTCCAATAATTGTAATGTTATTGTGACTTTTAAGGTCGAGTATGACTTTGTTTAAGTTTTCTAAGAAAGGATCAATGTTTCTTTGTGATGGTGATCTATATATGGCTATAATAGTTATAATGTTTTCAAGGTTGCAGGTTAGACAGCTGGCATCATTAAAAGTAGGTTCTGTTACCGTGTGACGTAGGTTATTTTTGACATATATGACCAGACCGTCATTTTGATTAATTAAGTTCTGGTTTGATGTGAAGAATATCCATCTAAGGTAGGGATGTTTCCTGATTTTTTGAGCCAGCATTCAGACAAAACTATTACATCGCATGTTAAGTTCATTGCAACTAAAAGACATCTAAGTTCGTTAAAATTTTTATTAATGCTTCTAATGTTTAAATGTAGGATATTTACGGTGTTTGAGACTTGTATATAGTCCGTGCAACGGTTTGGTTGGCACATGTGTGATGATGAAACTTGTATATCGTCTAAATCGTTAACTATGTTATTTAGAGTGGCCATTTATGTAACGTAGGATGCGAAGTATGAATGATGGTTTGTTATTAAGTCGAGTATGGGGCGTAGCTTGTTTTAAATAGAAAGGGTTGGTGGTGTGTGTTAGGAATATATAGAAACTGTAGCAATGTGAGTACATTAGGTGAGCTATGCTTCTATATAGAGTAAATAATGACGAGGCAAACTGGAAAATAACTGGTGTTCTGATTAAAATGTAATATTTTATTAGGTTTATGTATTGTGTTGTTTGTGTAGTAATATTGTGTAAGTATTTTATTTGAGTATGTAATGTAGACATAGTGAGGAGCTTTTTTGTGTATTTGAAATCTTTTGTATATATGTGGCAGTCTGAAAACAACAACATGGGTGTGTAACATAGTCATTTAGTCATTTGAACTTGCAGGTCAGCAAGAGATTGTTCGGATTTAATAAGCAGTTGTCTGGCACCTTCCTCCTTACGCAGAAATATATTTCCATTCGACGTCCAACAATATTTATATTCCATTCGTTTCGCAAATTCTCTCGTTATATAGAAGAGTTTTCGCGAGCTGGCAGGAAGATATTCTGCGACATAGATCGGCCGACGGTCGCCGCCCAGGCCAATACTGAGAGTGTTCAATCGTCCTTCAATGGGGTTCCCTTTGTTGAAGTTGCGTATGGAGGTAATCATTTGGTTTTTTGTCTCCACATTGGTGAATTCCACGACTATCGGTCTGACCGTTCCAGGTTTACCCGGTAGGCGGTAGATGTCGCGCACTTGCGTTCGATCGACCGGCGTGTTGATCGTTGCGCCTATCCTGCTAACGACGGAGGTGAGATCGGTTGCGGTTTCCTTCTCTTTGTTGGGAACGTTGCGAATTTCTATAATGGATGACCGAGATAGTTGCTGCAGGTCTTGTAATTTCGCATCCTGCTGTTGCATGCTGTCTCTGCACGCTCGTTTTTCTTTTTGCAATGACTCAAGTTGTTTTGACATATCGTCATATTGTTTGCTAATGAATGTGACAGTGCTTTCCATCTCCGAGAATGACTTTTGCATTGAGTTATTTTGTATTTTTAGTTCGGCTATGTCAGAGACGAGCCTTTTTAATTGAGTACTTTGTTCATTTATTATTTTTGTAAGGTAATCTTGTTGTTCCTTTTTCCAAGTAGTCAACATCTGGCGTATCTCTTGCTTAAAGTCCTGGAGGTCGCTGTTTCTAGGTGACGATGCGGGTTCCTTGTTTTTAGGTGAGGGTGAAGGTTCTGGACATGGGCGTTTACTACGTGAAGTAGTGTTTACATTTCCGAAAGGACTACTTGACATCGCCTGTGGAATGTCCGAATCGGACCTCGCCTGTATTAATTTAGTTGTTGTGGAAGATTTTGGTGGAGTGCGTCTGTCTGACATTGCGCGATTTGAGCGATCAAAAATCGGTCGTATTTCGTTGCGATAAGGTTCGGCTCAAAGTGTCAGTGAGGTGCGTTGACACAGTTCGACACAGAACGCGATCCTTTCCAACATACGCACACTGTGTGACACTGTGCGTGGTAGGTGGAGCTTCGCACGTCTTACTGATGCTTTCAAGGACGCGGATCGACACGGAACGACACAGAACGCGATCCTTTCCAGTTAGTCGACACTGTGTTTTTAATACTACCCGTTATTTAAAATTGTTAGTTTAGAATTTATTGATTTATTTAAAAACCACTCAATATTTTTAAGTTCTGTTTCACAGTCACTCAAGTTATTTGAAAACACACGTCACAGTTTATTTCGTTCTGTAGAATTGTTGTTTTTAGTGCATAAATAGGAATTTAGTGAATAATATAAATAAAATCCTACACGTTACTTTTATGACAATCTCATAAGAGCTCCCGTCTCCCATTCACGTAATTGAACAGACCGTGAACAGCTCGCGACAACCCTTTCAGTCGGACTGTGAATGGGCGCCCTCGCCGGCATTACGGCGCTCTTTGATTTATGTCTCGAACCCGGCAGCATTCAGCTCAAACTTTATGGCGCCTTACTCTTGAGAAAAAATCTCTGCGTTGGCTTTGTGTGTCGAGAACTGGGGGAAGAAAGAGTTTCCCAAACAAATTGTGTCCCGTCAACTGCGGCCATTGTGTCGCCTTATGTAACTGATGTCGCGTTTCATTATATATTTAGATGATAGCTACTCGTCTAATGGCTTCTGAATTATGCAGCCGTCCATCTGATATGTAATTATTAATTACTTGTGCTTCACACTGAGCGTGTCATATGGCTTAGGTACAGGAATTTACATTACCTACCTATGTCGCGAGGAGTACAATCAACAAAGATGGATGCTAATTGACTCACTAACCAATCAACTTGTTTAGAACTCAGTAAGGTAGGTAAGCGGTTGTTAGGTGTACAGTGTAGAGGTAGTATTGAAAATGATGAAACCAAATTAGGTATTTAGGTTCACTTGTTATAGTCCCAGGTGAAACGTGAAGCAACAAATTTCAAAACCACTCGTCCACCTCTCGCGTATTTTATTGACGGAATTATTTGTATTATATCATCGAGACACGTAATAAATTGAACTTTCTCAATCAATTCTGACATTTTTACTCTAAATCTTGATTGCAAAATTAGTAAACAGGTTTAAACTTGATTAGCCTAGTAATATTTGTGATACGAGTGCATTGTCCCGCGATATCTTATTAGGTACTACACATGTGTGTAGTATGAATGATGATGTGTGACGTATGTACTCATTCACGGGCACATACCGGCGTGTGACGTCACAGCCTAGCATATAAGTTATGTGTTAGGTTATAGAAGTACGCGTATATAACTAGCACGATTTATTTTAGGAACTAATTCCGATTTCATGTCTTAATACCACTTACTTTTCAGTTTAAAATAACAACTAATTTCTGCACAAAATTTGTCATTAGTTGAACTAATAATGAAGTGCGCCAGACGTCAGAGTTGAAACAGTGGACAATTTAATGAAGACATTTCCCGACGGAGCCTACTTACGTAAGTACCGAGTGTCAGTGGGCGCAGTCAAAGTTTCGCGAAGATTCACAAGTTCTGTCCTAGAAGAGGCAAAACTGTCGCTAACAAGTTCAAACTGTGCCGACCTCTGGTTGCTTTACAAAAACATTCAACTTATGAACTTCAGAACTTCCCTCCTGTAGTAATAAAGGGCTCCTTGAAGAAGGGTACTGATACCATCTTAAGATATTAATCCAAATCAATGATAGGTATTAATTTTGATTACTAAAAATTCTAAAACTCTCTAATATTTTAAAGTTCAAACTCATAATTAAGTATCTTTTATCCCCAAATGAAACAAATGATTGGCCCGGAATTTAAATAACAAAGACCATGTTAAAAATTGAGTCAAATAAAATTTGCGCGCACCTCTATGTGCCTACCTTCCTACGAAAAACATGGCAAAACACGCCTTTAATTTTAAATATATTGAACTCAATACAAAGTCAAACAGTTAAATCGATTGGCACGAGGCTCCGACCAAATTGATCAGACGGCTGCCAATATTTGTACAACATTGTGACGTCTGATCTCTGACTATACATCATAATGTATACAATGTATAGATACACTTATATATATGTACACTACATAATATATACGTCACTGGTAATGGCGTTACCATGTACTATTTATTGTCAGACAAACATTAATTACTTATGTGTTTTAACAGTTATCGCACGTAACGAATTATTAGTAATTTTGCTGTTATGTTTGGCTAATTATTATTACTATTATATTGTAATTTGTTAGGGCCATTGTTGTGTTGATTTAAATGCAATTGTTACAAACAATTGTACTGTTTGTAGAAAGTGATGTAATGTTTACTTTAAATTATGTTTCTGTGTCTGACTCTACAAAGCATTTCATAGACAGTTACTGTCGTATGTTTGTCACTAGATAACGCCCGCATACACGTACATAGTGTCTAGTGGCAACATTTTTTTTCTGAATTGACGGCCTTTGTATGTTTTGTAGATATTGGGCCTACATACATCTGACTAGATGTCATCATGGTTACTGTCAACTTGTTTAAAATATTTAAATTCATTCAAAAAGTAAACGGCGTACTTTCGTGAACTATTTAAGAAAAGCTCTACTTGTTTCAAATCATACCGGGACTCTTACTCATAAGTAATGTACTAAATTCCATTATACCTCTATATTACGATGAATTTCATAACTAATTCGTCAGCGCATTATATCCGTACATAATGTTAGGTGTATGTAGAATATATTTCGGAAAAAACTAAATAAAGAATGACAAGATGAATATTTAAATTACATCACATATTGATATTGCATTGTTCAAACATGTTAAACAGTATCTTGCACCACTTGTGTTTACTTATAAAAACATATTATTTATTATTGGAAGCAAACAAGTGACTATAAGTAAATATATTTGTTTTATTAAAATGTCTTGTGTATTCGCTAATGATGAGCACTGACACAGCTGTGTACAGTTTCGTAACAGGAAAATTAAATATTGTTGTCAAGTAAACAGACGAAATGCTGTCGTATGCACTACCTACTGATGAAAGTACCTCCACTGTAATTTTTAATTCAAATATTGAAGTTTAAGTATCTATCTACCCTTTCGGGAAATTAAATATTACGTTGATGTATGCGACTAATTGTAATGTTTTACCAAGTAATTTATACCCAAGTTCTGCGAGTCAGCCAGTAATATTATAACAGAGTACAACTACAATATTTACAGAAATAACGACCAATCGGTACAGAATCAATATCACAGAGAATAAAAACTATTATCATAATTTAGGTTCTCAAAAAATATTAATTATGTAGAAATCAATAGAGGCAAATAAAATGATAATTTTCACTTCCCTGGTATTTTTAAAGCAGGAAATAGAATTACGGAAGCCTATACATATATATACTGCGTATGTATATGTGTACAAATATTACTTATGAGTTTTAGTAAACCGTGTGTAATCATTAGTCAATTATTAATATCCGCATCGTTATTATAACTTGTTAGGCTAATTATTACTGTAATATATATTAATTTATTAATGCTATTGTGTTGGTTTATGCAGAATGCATACAGTATGTGTTATTGTTTTCTGATTGGAGCATCGAATGCGTCCAGCGGTAATCGATTAAATTATATCGATACAACTTTATGACCGTGCAACATTCGTCTGACTAGCTACTAATAGCCTGCCCGTCCGACGCACGCACCTTGTGTAAGCAGTTTAAACATAATTCACGAATTATACACTAATGTTAATGTGTTACTTTTCTGAACTTCGTCTATTAAGTCTTATTAAATACAATGTAATTTATTGCAATCAGAATACACTATCTAAACACAAAGACGTTCATTTTTTTAGTGAAGCTGTATTTGCTTCGTCCCTATAGAATATTCTAAAGTTAGTAACTATAATAATAAGCTACCTTCAATCTTTTTTGTTAAATTCATCAAATAAAGTGTATACTGACCATTGTACAACTAAACTTTTTTCAAATAATAAAACAACATTACGTTACCTAAAAACAGAGACCCTAACTGCCCAGGCCCAAAAGAGAACTATAAACAAATTAAAACTCCACTATCCAGCTCATAGTTCATTACGTAGGCACATCACTAATGAGTTCACTCGTTGTGGTGACACGTACTGAAGCTTTGTGTAATGTTTCAGTGTACGGAGGTTACAGGCTGACCTCTGTGGAGGCTCTTGATTGGCAGGAGTCAGTGACTCGCGGCCTGGAGGGCGGGCGGATGTACTGGAACTAGGGCGGACAGTAATGGTTACACGCACTAGATTTCCTAGGTACATGGCATGAAAATTGGGGCATTTTAGGAAACTTCTCCGTTATGGATCCTTTACGATAAAGCCAATTATGACAAATCTTTTAAAAAAAGGATTTAAGACCAACGCAACCCATAAACAACAACGTTGTACCTTTACCTCTAATAAATTAAAATCTTTCCAAAAAATATCCAGCAATAAGGAACTAATAAGCATCTCTATGTTGTTACATATTACAAAAGCCAAAGCCAACGTTACTTCCTGAGAACATATATTTCGTCTTCCTCACTACTAATATCCGTTGAGGAAGTGAGATACAATGACAGATTGTGTGAGTATCGTGCGACCGTGTGTCTGATGAAGGGCAGGCGCTGAACTGTAAGTAGGGCGGCGATGAGGAACTCCGAGAGTATTAACCTTATAACCGCCGCCGCCCTACTTCACCCGGGTAGCCGTTATCTGGCGCAAAGGATGTCCTAATGGGTGTCGCCGGGAGGTCAACGTATCGGAGCACCGATACATCAAACCACAGTAATTGGGTACACACACAGCCTCTATTCCACTTACTACAAATAGTTCGAAGGGACACTATACCTCCGT